CCGGATTTCAAAATCAGAGTCGTAAGTTCGTCTTATTATTCAAATACTTTAGGTCAACCATTTATGTGCTGTGCACGGTGATAACATACAACTTATCGTCCGGGGTACCATGGAGCGGCTAATGACAAGATCAGTTGCCGCGGAGATAAATTACTCCGGCGCTAGAGGTTCCTTTGCATTCAGGCGAACAAATCTGAACGGCCTTGTACAAGGTAGGTTGAAATGCAGTAATCCATACAAACCACCAAGGCATCATTCGACAGCGCATGGGTGATGCAGCCTCGGATGCTGACATTACACGGCACATCAAAACGTGGTTGCATTCTGCACGGCACAAAAGACCGCCGGTTGAGCAAACTAAAGTATGCAGTGCGAACGAGGTGAGTCCCCTGCTTCCTTACGCACATCTTTAGCCTCCTACGTTGACACTCGCGGAAGCAGATTAAGAATATTGACTATGCCGCTTTCTGCTACTAACATTCTTTGTACTGCACCCCTTCATGTATATATAGCATTCCTATACCTCGATTTTAATTTTCTTTCGCTTGTGATGTCAGGTGCGCGGTAAGAGCGGTTTCCTTTTCTGACCAACAGCTTTGAGTCGCCGCCTAGGTGGGTTCCCAAGTCCAGAAACTACCGCAACTGGTACCGGGTGAACACTAGGTCCGAGTCGTCCATATATTCGTTAGGAGCATAGTGCGTTCAAGTGTGTTGTCTGTATTCGGATACCCATGGGAGGCAATGACGGGATCTGGACCTGCCGGATTGGCACGCATAGTGGTGAATTTCTATTGGTCTACGCTAGCATCATCTTCATTGGTCCAAAGTAAACTGGACAGGAACTCTTTTTAGCCGTCTCACGGTAATACTTCCTGTCCAGTTTAGCCTAATGCTCTCATAGGAACGTTTAGGATGCTGAACTGGACAGGACCTGGACATGTGCTACCAGGGAATAGCCCCCAAACGCGTTATTTTCTTTGCGGTAATGAACTCCACCATGTTACCTAATTGGTAGACCTAGGGGTCACATTGTCTTCAGAACTTAAATCCAGTGAGAACTGGAAGAAAGCTACGTGTAAGGGTTTCAGAATGTTGTGGATGGTCCGCAGGACATTCGGGACCATCACGGGCGCTATGTTTGTTAGGTTATTCTCAGCGTTTGTCAGGCCACACTTGGAATACTGCATCCAGGCTTGTCCACCTTGCGTAGTCAGGGACAGGATGTCAGTGGAAAGAGTGTTGAGAGTTGGAACCAAACTGGTCCATGGACAGCGGAACCATTCTTACCCAGAAAGACTACTTGCTCTGGGAATGTTCTCGATGCACTATCGTCTACTTCGAGGCGACCTAGTCTTGACCTGTCGTATACTTACCGGTAAAATCGGACCCGATTTTTCCGGGCTTTTCCAACCGGCTCGGCTTCCATCGCTCCGAGGTCACTCGCTGAAGCTACACAAAACTCGATCGGATGGAGTCCCGGCGGACTTTCGTTTATCACGCCGAGTGGTGGATTCCTGGAGTGCACTGCCCGAAAACGTGGTATTGGCACCAACAGTGAAAGAGTTCGAACACCGACTCGACGCTCTTAACCTTCAATTCTTAACATTCCCCTTCACGTCCTAGTTTATTCGTTTTATTGAATTATTAAATCTTTTTTTCTTGACGCTCTTATTACTTTCCTACTTCTCTTTCTTATTTCACG